TCAAAACAAATCAAAGCTATGGGAAACGGACCCTGAGATGCATCTGTGCGATGTTCCTTTGGGAGTCCTCTACTATCCTTTGGTTGTCCTCCGAGCAATATGACTTTGGCAAATAATTAATATCTTATTTCAATGAAAAAAAGAGAGACATTTGAAAAAGAACTTTTTGTAAATGAAAACCAGCAATACGTGAGAAAAATATCAGTCCAAATGCTTTATCTTAGCAAAAACATGTTCATCTACTTGTTTTAAACAAACTGAAATCAATTTAAAAATGAATGACTATTCAAACTGAAAGGCTGAGAAGCTTAAGAACACCAACATGGAATGCCTTCAGCTGCAGTCATCCCCAATGCCATAGCTTAGCATCTGACTACAAAGGGTTTCAGCGAGCTGCTATTCACAATTCGTCCTCCTGCCGCACAGGTTAGTCAGCACACACAATTCGGTGTCTCAGTAAGGAACATACCTGTAGAAAACATCTGTTTTCTACCCAATCCAGCTATGCCAGTGGAAAAGGTTACTCCCCTCAGCAGTTCCTATGGGGTAGCTCCCACCCCTACCTACCACGAGCAGATGGATTTGCGCGAGTTCTCCCCACAGTGAGATTATCTCAATCACTGTGTGAGCTTCACCCCTAAACTGGTGAACTTAATTCTTCGGCTCTTCCTGGAGGTGAATTAGGAAGTGTTCACACACACTCCTGTAGCAGCAGGGCAGAGGGAACAGCACGCTCTGGCAGAAGCACAGAAGCTATCAGCTGTAGAGACAGTTCCTCCCAGCAGCACAGTTGGCTGAGAGGAAGAACGGCTTTTGCAGCCAAATTTACCCCTACTATGCAAGAATATTACAGAAGACAAAAAAGAGCTGACTGCACTTTGGTTCATTTTTAAAATCCTTAATGCAGTCCCAAAGGGGATGAGAAGGCATCAAGTCCAAATTTGGGGTTGCTAAACTACAACAGCTTTGTTGGATTTATGCCAACTTTGGTTAGGCAGCCAACAGCCAGTATGCCCTATGCTAAAGTCTCACATCAGCAGTACATTGCCCCTGCACTAAGGAAATTCACTCTCCAAATATTCAGTACTCCTTTCAAATGCCCTAGATTGGGGAAAGCAGATTATCAGATTACTAGATCACAGAAAGTCAATCTAGTAAGGAGAAAAACAAAAACAACCCTCACATATGCACATGCATCTCTAATGTGCCATTTATTTTTATAACCTGATTTAATCAGAACTCCAAATATTAGATTTTAGAATCTACCTTTTATAGTTGCTCTCTACTACCATAACGAAGTTGCTTTAGGAGTGGACCATGACAGCAACTTGAAGTCAGACACCCTATTTTAGGGTGATTTTGTTTTAAGAGTTGAAATGAAAACCAATTTCTCAGCTGAAAACACCAATAAATTTTAAGTAGCCAGAATGTAAATACCGGAGCTGGAGTCTGGAGACAAGTGGAGAGATAATAAACACCCTCTTCTTGGAAGAGCTGTACTTGGAGCTCAGCGATAGCTTGGCCAGACCTGCTGAGCTCATCCCCAGAGCAGAGGCAGGGGAACATGGGGCTGCCTTGGCACAGAGGGAATGACAGAATCCAACTAACCACCAGGGAGGAGCCCTGCCTGGAGGGCAGGATCTCTGCACAGACTATGACATGAATCTACAGCAGTCAAGGCACCAGTGTGGGATGGCTACTCTGCCTGACCACTGGCAGAATCTCCTCCCCACTGAAACCGCTCCTTGCCACATGGGTAGCCTGAAGAAGGCAGGGATTTACATTCCTTTTTCTCCAAAGCTGCCCAGTGCCAACTAGAGTCAGGCCTTTGGGAGCCAACAAGCACTTCTTGGCCTCATTTGAAGGTATTATCTACGTAAGCAGAACTTCTTCCTCACCAAGAAAAGCTTCTGAGTTTTCGCATTTGATGCCACCAAATCCCTTTGCTTTGGGGTACCGCAACCAGGTGCAAACCACTCCTGAAGCTCTTGAGAAAGGGCCTATTGGGAAGAACCACAGAATGGTTGAGGTTGGAAGGGACCTCTAGGGATCACCTAGTCTGACTCCCCCTGCTCCAGCAGGGACACCAGAGCATGTGGCACAGGCATTCAGACGGGTTTGGAAGATCTCCAGAGAAGGAGCCTCCACAACCTCTCTGGGCAGCCTGTTCCAGGGCTCTGTCACCCTCACAATAAAGAAGTTCTTCCTCACGTGGAGGTGGAACTTCCTGTGCTTCAACTTACACCTGTTACCCCTCGTCC